TGACACCTGCTGCCGCCTCCGGTGTTTCCCGCAGCCCCCGAAGCGGAACTGGTTTTGGGGTCACCTGGGACTGGTGAGTGTGGGTGGCAGGATGGGCCTGGGGCCCGGGGTGGATGCACTTTCCCAGGGGTGGGGAACGGGGGACCTGGGGTGGGACTGGGGTCTGGGACAGCAGAGAATGAGGAAGGCTAGGGAGCCGTTCTGTAATCACTCATTCATCCCAGACCATTTGCACATCTTCATCTTAGCACCCCTAGCCTGTTTGGGATCCATTTCCTGCCTCCCTTCCCCACATTAATGTCCCTCTGAAGGGCTCCCAGGGCGGGCTGCACAGAGCAGGGTCCCTTGGCATTCCCAGTGTCCATGGCTACCCCAGAGACCTTCTCAGGGGGCGCTGTCCAGGGTCTGCTCCCTACCTGGCCCATTCCCTTGTGTCTGCTCACTTACCTACAGGAATTACCTATGACCTCCCCACCTCAACTCACAGGGGTCTAGCTCTCCACCCACACCCCTCCCTTGGAACGCTTCCTCTCAGTCTACACTTCCCTGCTGAGATGTCCCAATGGGCCCATTGCCCAACCTGAAGAAAGTTAACCGCTCACTTCCCCTTACAGAAGCTTTCTTTGACTCCCCACCTGCACAGACCTTTGACTTGGGTCTGCTCATACTTAAAGAATTAATTGTCCAGTTACTTATTTTCCACCTCTTTATCTGGATAGTTGCTCTGGGGATCAGATACTACATTGTCCAGCCCAGGAGCTGGCATACAGTAGGCACTCAGGTAAGTGTTTGATGACATAGGTGGTGAGCTTGCCATTACCTGCCATGTTCAAGGTCAAAGGGACGAGCGGCTAGCCCTTCCCATCCCCAGACAGGCTGAGGGAGGAGCACAGCTCTCCTTAACTGCCCAGCATGAGGACCACAGCTGGGGGAGGGACTTCCTGCTATTTTACTGCTCATTATGGCCAAGTTTGGAATGAGGGCATCCAAGCTCATTGTGAACTTTGCCTGAGATGCTGGGTCTGGGAATGTTCTTGACAAACCCTGGGGGCAGCAGGAATGTTATAAAGTTGCCATTTCCACTCCCTGTTCCAGGGCTTGGCCATGGAGGCTGGTCTTGGTCACTCTTCCCTCCTCCAGTCCCTCTTGCTGTGACCTCAGCTGAGTCACTCTCCCTCTCTGGGCCAATCTCCTCAAATGCCTCAGGGTTCTTAGGGAGCAGGGAAGAGTCACAAAAGTGAAAATGACTCATATTCACCTGTCTGGAGCACCTGGAAGTATTTGTCAGGCCGGGATGGGGCTTCCCGTGGGACTGGAGAGGATGCCTCACTGGGAGGCAAGCCCGCCTCCTTCTCCTTTTGGGAGACGCGGCCTGGGTTTCTTCATTTGTAAAAGGCACGGCTGATGGGGGAGTCCATAGGTTCAGGGGATAGGTTCATAGATAGTCCATAGGTTCATAGGTAGAGGTAGATAGACAGATAGACAGACAGACAGATGGGATGAACCATGCCAGCTGGTGGGCAGAAGAGGACGTAGGTGGGAGCTGCCCTCCTGACTGATGGGCAGAGCTCACACCTGTGTCCTGGGGTCTGTCAGAGCTGGAAGGTCTGCACACCTTCACCATCTGGGGAGCGGGGGGCTGTGTGGACTGGCCAGGACATGACAGGACATGGGAACGAGCCCCAGTACAAAACGTGAGGCCACCCTGCTGTTCCCGTGGGCACCTCCCTGAGATTGGACCGACTCCCAGAAGAAGAAAGATCTGACTTCTCAAGCCAAGGTCGGCCTCTCTGGGGGCAGAGAGCATGTCTTCTCCCTGTGTCCTGGGAGGGACCCTTGCGACATGGAGAGTCTTCCGGGATCCCTCTGCCCCCAAGAGAAGGAGCAGGAAGAAACAGAGATCCCCTCCATCTATGCAGAGTCTGGACACACTGACCACTGCAGAGGTTGCAGGGGAACTTGCCATGGCTCCTTCTGTGGAGGTGATGGCCCCTCTCTTGCTTGTAGGTCCACCCCACAGAGCAGGGCTTGAGGGTCTTAATTCAGCTGGTGGCCGCCTACTCGAAGGGGTTTGTGACGTGGCTGGGCCCCACCATGCCCCTTATCACTTTGTGCCACCCTGACATGATCCGGACTATCACCAATGCCTCAGGTACTCATGCAGAGCTTGTGGTGATGGGCTGTGACACAACCCACGGCTGTCAGCCCCTCTTTCTCCAAGCTTCATGCAACAGCAGCGGGTCACTGGCCTCACTTCCCCCTTCTCTCTCAGCCATCTTCCTCTTCCCTTCTTGTGTTTGTCAATCCCCATCTCACTGTCTCCTTCTTCCACTGTTGTCTAATCCCCCACCCCAACCCTGGTGTCCTGGGCACCACTGGGACCCCAAGAGACCTCAATCCAAGGCTCAGTCCTGGAGGAACTCTCAATCTTGAGGAGATGGGTTGACAGAGAGGTCCTTGACCTGATGAGGTAAGGAATTGGCCAGAGGGACATGGCTGTGTCATCCCACAGACGAATCAAGGCCTCTGCTGGGGCAGGCTGGAAGACTCCCTAGAGGAGGAATTATTGGAACTGGGTATGGAATGACAAGCAGAAATTTTTTTAAAGCAGAGGGCAGAGTGGTGCGATGGACATCAATAGCATCTGAGGTCCCCTGCCAGGCCTGGCCTCAGTCCCACCCATCCCCATCCCCAGAGCAACAAGTGTTGGCAGAGTACCTGCGCTGCTTTTTCTGTGACACCCACCTCTGCTGGGTTGGTTCCTTCCACCCTATTCTACAATCTTGTCTGCTCCAAGTTCATTGCTCTTCTGCTTGAGGGTCCAGGAATCTCCTTGATGGGCCTCTACTCCAGCCTAGCTCCCTTCACTTGCTTCTGTTTCTTCTAGCTTTGACGCCCAAATTCTGGGTGACTCTGGGAAGACACCCAGCTCTCTCTGGCTGCCAAGGTGTTTTTCAGTTGTGAGAGGTGAAAACTCAACCCTATGTGGTTTAATCAAAGAAAGGAAATCTACTTACAGTGAAGTCCAGGAAGCATTGTCTTCAGGCATGGCTGGATCCAGGTCTCAAATAACATCATCAAGAATCTGTCTTCATTGTTTCGGTTCTGTTTTCCTCTGTGATGGCTTCACTTTCATTCTGGTAAAGAAACTCAACCCCCACGGGAAAGCGAGCTTATTCCCAACAGTTCCAGGGGAAAAGTTGCAAAACTCCCTTTAATTTTCTTGGGCTGCATCCCAGGGTCAGTTTCTCATTTAATCACTGTGGCTCTGATTACCCAGTCTTGGCAAGTGTAGGTTCTCAGAGCTATTGTTTTGGGGCTCAAAGCAGTTTGATGGCTAAGAACTCAGGTCCTGGAATTCTGATGGACTTGGGCTCAGATCTCTGGCAGGCCACTTACCATCTGGGAGACTGGGGGCAAATGACTTCATCATTCAGAGTCTCAGTTTTCTTATATGGAAAATGAGGAGAGAGGAGAAGCCAGGTGAATGTGGTGTTTGGGATCCAAATGGGGGAAAGACACTTTTTGTTCCTGTAACCAAAGAGCCCCAATTGTTGTACCAAGGGTCTGAGGAAGGATTCCAGGAGGAGACTGAGCTGCTGGAAAGGATGCACAGGGCTCAGGTCTGGGTATTTTCTCTGCAGGGTCCTTCCATCTGGCCATCTAGAAAGACTGTGAATGGGGTCCTTTTTGTTTTTCTTCAGATTCAGAGCTCAGAGGAAGGTCTTCTGTACACACAAAACCTGGCGAGCACCTATGGGGATGTGTGCTGCTGGTGGGTGGGTCCCTGGCATGCAGTCATCCGAATCTTCCACCCCACCTGCATCAAGCCTGTGCTCTTTGCTCCAGGTAGACACCCCACGGCCACGGCTTGCTCACTGCTGAAGTCTCTGTGCTGCCGACAGCGTGGTGGGTGACCCAGATGCAGCTGTGGGGATGCCACTGCCTCTGTCTTGCCTGGACCCCACATGCCAGATCTCTGGTCACATCTGCTCACACCTAGGGTGTGATTGTGCGATGTCTGCTGTATGGCCAGGTCTGGTCATGTTTATGTTTCCACCTGTGTTCTGGTTACGGCCGATATACTTTATACCTGGTTATACCTGGCATATGGTACATGGTAACCATGAAGATGGCCTTAGTCATGTCTGGGGCTCACCTGTGGCCAAGGATATTCAAGGCATGTGGGGAGTGTGTCTGGTTTTTTGTTTTTTTGTTTTTTTTTTGTCTGGGATGCTATTTGAGATTGTCTGGTTCTCCTGTGGGTCGTGTCTGGACCATGTTTGGAGTTTGTCTGAGGTCTGGAACCTCGAGTCCTTCTGAGAAATGCTGAGGCCTTATGTGAGCCTTGTCCAGGGCAGGTCTTAGGATATGGCTGGGTCATACCTGGTCCATGCCTGGGACATTAGTGGGACCATATTTAAGTCCTGCCTGGGACCATCTGTGAGTCGTGTCAGATTGTCTCTGGGTCCATGTCAGAGGATGCTGCATCAGACTGAAGTCGTGTCAGATTGTCTCTGGGTCCATGTCAGAGGATGCTGCATCAGGTCAGTGTGTGTTATACATGTTGTTTCATGCCAAGGCATGTTAACATGTGTTGGGGCCATGTCAAGAGATGTCAGAGAGTTCTGGGACAGATGCGATGTCCTAGGTCCCTGTAAAGGCATTTTATGGAGTGCTGATTTGTGCTCAGGTGTTTCGAACATGTTGGACTGGCACAACATGTGTTGTGCCACATTTTAGGGAGCATCTAAGTACATAGGGGTGTGTCCATGGGCTCTGCCTTTGCTCTGCTCTGTGCTGCAGCCTGATATGATGCCCCCTCACCTCCCCACTCTGTTTCCTCCGCTCTTGTCCCCATTCCTGCTAAGCTGGTCTTGGAGGGAGTATGAATTCCCCTGGCTGGGCCCTCCACTCCCCCAACCCAAACCCCTCCCCTCCCCCTCCCCATGACCCCTGATGGTCCTCATTCGTGTCAGCTGCCATTGCACCCAAGGACGCGGTCTTCTACAGCTTCTTGAAGCCCTGGCTGGGTGAGTAACTGTGGGTGAAGGGGACTGGAGACAACCTTGGGGACCCAGGGGGAAGCAGTGCCTTTGCCCACTTCTTGCGGCTGCCTCTACTAGGGGATGGGCTCCTGCTGAGTGCTGGTGACAAATGGAGCAGCCATCGCCGCATGCTGACACCTGCCTTCCACTTCAACATCCTGAAGCACTATGTGAAGATTTTCAATGACAGTGTAAATGTCATGCATGTGAGTCTTTTGAACCCAGGGTCCCAGCTGAAGTCTTGGGGGTGATGGAGGCTCTGAGATATCTTGTCTGGAATTCTGGCTCTCCTAGACAGCTTTGGGGCCATTGCTCTTCCTCTCTGAGCCTCAATTTTCTCAGCTATATAATGGGAATAATGGTCCCCACTATGCAGGGTAGTCAAGATAATGTAATGTATTCCTGTCCCTGGCACATAGCAGGTGCTCAGAAGGTGTTAATTTCAAAGTTTCCCTTACAAAGAAGCCTTCGAACCTGAGACCCACTTGGTTATCCATGAAGGTTGCATAGTAGTTATGCTGAATTAACGAACCCCTTCCAAACTCATTGGTCTAAAGCAATAAGGGTTTATTATTGCTAACCTGTCTGTGAGTCAGTTGGTTTTCTGGACATGGATGGGATCACATGTGCCTGTGATCAGCTCTGGGTCAGGTATGTACTTTGCATATCTGGGCTCAGCCCTCTTACATGTTCGAGGAGTGGCTGTCTGCAGGCTGATCTAGGGTGGTCTCAGCTTGGACAACTGAACTTTCTTTAATGTGATTCTCTCCCTCCAGAAGGCATCTCAGGCTTGTTCCCATGGCTGAGGCAGGGTTCCAGGAGACTGAGAGGAGGCTTCAATGCCTCTTGAGATCTAGGTTTAAGATGATCACCTTGTCATTTTTGCTATGGTCGACTGGCCAAAGCAAGTCAAAAGGCCATTATAGAATCAAAAGGTGGTGAAAAAGCATCCACCTTTTAATGGGAGTTGCTGAAAAATCACATTGAAAAGGTGTGGATATAAGGAAGTGAAGAATTGGAGGTGGGGGTTTTGTGAAGGGCCTGGGATTATTTTCACACTTGCAAGCTAAGGAGTGAGATTGTTATGGTTTTGTGGATTGTGCCGGAAGACACGAGACTCCTGTGTCAGAGACAAAGAACAATTTATTACTCATAGCACAGCAAGCACACGTACTTCTTGGTTTGCATTCTTTCTCTAAGTCACCAAATCCTGTGAGGATAACACAGGTGGGCTTCAATGCTTATGCAGTATGTTGCATTACAGGAGAGGCATACCAGGTTCAGGGACTCTATGACGTCTGGTAATTAAAAGCAAGCCTGACATTTGTGTGTGGGAAATATTACCTTATTCCTTAAGTGTGTTTGCTGAAAATGCAACTCTGAGAAATGCCTAAGTAAAGAATATCAGAGCCTTGCCTTTTTTGGGCATACCCAGCAAAAAGGTGGAGGGGTGCTCAGGGCCCATGAATCGCCTCTTTCAACATAGGGGAATTTTTCTTAATTTATGACAATTAAGATGATGAAAGCTAACATTTCTCAAGAACTTACTATACACCAGAATCTATGTGCACATTCCATGACATATATTGTCTAATTTGATTTTCACAACCATATGAGGTAAAGATGATTATTATTACCTCATTACAGGTGGTGAAAATAGGTTCAGAGAAGTTAGGGAGCTTGCCTGCATTCACACAGCTAGCAAGTGAGCTAATGAGTGGAGCTGGGATTCCAACCTGGTTTGTCTGACAACAGAGCAAGTCATATTAACTGTTACTGAAGCTTTGACAGGTGGAGTCCAGAGGGCAGCAGTGAGTTGACCAAGGGCACACAGGGGTGTAGGAGGCAGAGTCAGGATTTGAACTCAGGTCTTCTGACTCTCAGCCATGGGATCTTAATAGTAAGAGTTTGTACTCCCACCCAAGCCTGGTCCTCCCTGAGGATGGGTGCCTGGGGTGGAGGACGAGGAGCCTGGGTCTGGTGGATCCCCTCTTGGTGGTTGGTGTTGGAGAGGGGTTCAGAGGAGGCAGGTCCCAGCCCCAGCTCTGCCTCCTTCTCTGCCCAGGCCAAGTGGAAGCGCCTGGTCTCAGAGGGCAGCACCCGTCTGGACATGTTTGAGCACATCAGCCTCATGACCCTGGACAGTCTGCAGAAATGTGTCTTCAGTTTTGACAGCAATTGCCAGGAGTGAGTGCTTGCTCAGGACCTGGGAACATGAACTGTAGACCCAAGGGAGTAGATAGGGAGGGGAGGGATGACCAGGGCAATCAGATGGGACTTCCTGGAGGAGATGGATCAGAGTTGGACAAAGAGGGACAAGGAAGGGAAAGAGAAAGAGTGATCCTTTCAGGTAAGCAGAAATGTTTGACAAAGGCCAAGGGACTAGGATGAGTGAAGCATGTGCCACAGTAAGGAGCCACCTTGGGAATGAGATTGGAAGGGTTGGCAGGAGCTATATCTTAAGGACATTCAAAATCCAGGCAAAAGGGTATGACCTTTATCTGAGGTTTGAGCAGGTGAGGGTCATGGGCAAAGCTGTTCTTGGACATCTGAGTCTGGAGAAGACCAACTGATGTGTAGACAATGGATGGTGTGAAATTGGATGCAAGATTAGAGAGGGGATTGGGTCCATTGACCAAATGGGAGAAGATGAAATCTGAGCTGTATGGAGAGAGAGGAGAGAAGCATAATGTGTCAGCTGGGTTCTGGGTTCATGGAGGCAGCTCACAGAAATGGGAATCAGGGAGAGAAGAAAGTCTGGAGAGTCACGTGTCCTGGATCATCCCCACCATGTATCTGTGGGGCCATCTGTTCCTGGATACTCAGTTTTCTGATGGGCTATATCTCCCAGCTGCTGGTATCAGGCATTTTCTCAGCCTTCAGGTGAGCTAAGTTGTTACTTTCCTTCATGCCCTCATCCTGCAGGAAGCCTAGTGAATATATTGCTGCCATCTTAGAGCTCAGTGCCCTTGTGGCAAAACGGCACCAGCAGATCTTCATGCACATGGACTTCCTGTACTACCTCACTCCAGATGGGCAACGCTTCCGCAGAGCCTGCCGCCTGGTGCACAACTTCACAGACGCTGTCATCCAGGAACGGCGCCGCACTCTCCCCGATGACGGTGTTGATGACTTCCTCAAGGCCAAGGCTAAGGCCAAGACTTTGGACTTCATTGATGTGCTCCTGCTGACCAAGGTGGGCTTCTCTGGGATCTGGATTCAAGAGGTAGAAAGGACCTTGATTTCATATTTCAAATTGAAGACTTAGACTTGATCCAGAGGGCACTGGGGAGTCATGGGTGGTGTTTGAGGAAAGGAGGGATGGATTAGGGATATGTTTTAGGGATGACTTTATGGAATGTAACCTGCAGGGGACTGCTAAGTCTGCAACTGTGAAGGGCCTGAGATTTTACTCTACTTAATAAGGTAGTCGTGCGTGTGTGTGTGTGTGTGCGTGTGTGCGTGTGTGTGTGCGCGTGTGTATTTATTTATTTGTATATTAGAATCCAGAGAAGCCCATTTGTTACTCACGGAAATAAGGGTGGCCATAGAATTGTAGCCATGGTTCCTCATTCTAAAATTCTTCTGAGAGCTACATGATGCTTTTATCTGTACATGCAACCAACCATGCTTCCATCATAGGAGAGGTACCTCTACATTATGAATCTTGGAACTTATATAGGACTGCTGATACATCTGCCCCTTCTTCTTCTTCTCCTCCTCCTCTGCCTATGTCTTGTCTTCCTCCCCCCTTCCCCCTCCTCCTCCCTCCCCCCTCCTCCTTCTCTTTCTCCTTCTTTCTCTTTCTTCTCCTTCTCCTTCTCCTTCTGTGTGTGTGAGAAAGAGAGAGAGAAGTAGAGAAAAGTGTTTTGGAGTGTAAACCAATTGTCTTCACCGAGAAGGCAAAGTCTATAGGTTCTGTTGGCTTATCACCAGGGGAGATAAGGAATCTCTGGATTTACTATCCTAGAATGAGAGCAAATGGCTCCGGAGCAATTCTCATTTCCAACTTCCAAGGGAAGTTGTCATTCAGTCTCCTGTAATCCAGGTGGCCAATAACTTCTTTCCAGTAAGTCCTCACCATGTAGAAACAAGAAGATATTCATGGATCACTGATCCCTCTCACCAGGGACAAAACAGGAGGCAAAGAGGCCACGGAGGAGAAGGCCTGTGGGGTGGGGCCTCTGGTAATAGTTTCTGGATGGATTATGGAGCTTCAGAGATTGTCTCAAGTTAGGCTTATGAGCTCTCAGAGTGGATATGATTTGCTGTGTGTGCGGGCGGGTGGGGTGGAGTGGTCTTATACTCTCTCCAGGACAAAGATGGAAAACAATTGTCAGATGAGGATATCCGAGCTGAAGCTGACACCTTCATGTTTGGGGGTAAGCATCCCAGTGTGGGACTGCAGGGGGTAGGAGTCTGTCCAATCCCAGGGACTTGGCAGGTGGGCCCTGGACCACCCCATCCCACCCCATCTTCCCAATCCTCCCTGAGGGCCCTAATGAAGGGCGCTGTCCACCCTCTGGTGCTGAACAAGCCCAGAGACCCAAGCCTGTCTGGCTGCCTCTCAGGCCATGACACCACGGCCAGTGGTCTCTCCTGGGTCCTGTACAACCTTGCGAAACACCCAGAATATCAGGAGCGCTGTCGGCAGGAGGTGCAGGAGCTCCTGAGGGACCGTGAGCCTAAAGAGATTGAATGGTGAGTGCAGGTCCTCATGTCCTGTTCTGGAACCCCTCTCATTGGCTCTGCTCCCCTGCTGGGGAAGGGGAAAGAACTTTTTGTTGATTGTGTCATTATTGCTTAGAGAGACTAGGAGCAGAATCCAGAGGCAGGGGTCTGGTACCTAGCCTGGAGAGCAGGGGAAAGTGACAGAAAGATCTGGGCTGCTAAGAGAATTATTGACAATTATGAAGGCAGATGATACCACTTAGCACATATTCTGTAAGTGAACTTCCACTCCACTCCCTTACTTTTCTCTCCTAAATCACACTCTCTCTGCCCCCCAAATATCTTCACTCCCTGAGTTTTTGCTTGTCTCTTGCCTCCTAACTCCTTCAATACTGTTCAGCCCAGGATTCATGGGGGACACCTAGGGATTGAAATCATTCAATTCTTGTCCAGGAACACCTTCATTCATCCTGTCCCCATTCAGAGAACACTGCCGCACTGCCTTTCTGTCCCCAGTTGTGTGCCATCTCCAATTCTACCAGCCCATTCTGTGTCCTGGAGCTCCAGCCTGCTGGGGGAATAGACTCAGATCAGGACACCCTGGATCCACCCCCTGGGCAGGGATAGGATGGAGAGTAAGAGAGGCAAGGATAAGAGTAGAGAGAGTGTCTCAGCTGAGACCCTGAGTGATGATCAGTAGGTGTTTGGGTACAGTTGGGGTGCAGTTAATTCAAGAGGACAGGGTGGACAAAAGGGAAGAGGAGGGGAGGAATGGAAGAGGGAGAGGGAGAAGAGAGAGGGAAGGAGGGAGACAGGGAGAGAGAGAGAGAGAGAGAGAGAGAGAGAGAGAGAAACTTAAGTAGGCTCCATGCTTACTGGAGAGCCCGACATAGGACTCCATCACTTGAACCTTGAGATCATGACCTGAGATGAAATCAAGAGTCTGACACTCAACAAACTGAACCACCCAGGCACCCCCAGGAAGATCTTTCTAGGGCTAGTGTGGGAAACATACTGGAGAGGACAAGCTGTTGCATGGGGACCAGGAAAATGATTTTGAGGCCTGGGACAGGCCAGGGTCTGGGGGATGTTGAAGAGGCATTGGACTGGACAGGCATTTTTTACCTAATATTTCCCACTCCAAGCCTTCGCTCAGCACAGCAGTCCTGTGAGGTAGGGAAATATTTTTAAGCTTTTTCAACAAGACTTCAAACAAAATTATACACTTTGTAAAAAAAAAAAAAAAAGACTATACAAAACAGAGTTTAGAGTAGAAATGAACTTTTAAAAAAATCCTTGCCCTAGGAGGAACACTTGTCAGTGATTTTCTGTGTATCCTTCCAGAAGACATCTATCTTTATACCCACATTTATATGAAAACTATCTCCTCTCCCCTTCCAAGTGGGAATTAAGGTCTACACATTAACAACATATCCTTGAGATCTCTTCCTTTTCCCAGAATATGAGTTTTTGAAAAATAGTTTTGAATTACAAAAGCAATGATGAGAACAAGTTCTTCTTGTTCTGAGACGTTACAAAGGAGACTATGGTTATCATTAACATCCTCCCCTGCCAACTTAATCCCCTTTCTGTCTCCTGAGGGGTTTTTAAACTTTTAGACTCATTGATTTGCTATGTCTCTTTCCATAATTATCTATCTATCTATCTATCTATCTATTATCTATCAATAACTATCTATCATCTACCTATGTATCATCCATCTATCTATCATCTATATCATCTATCATCTATCTATCATCTGTCTATCATCTATTATCCATCATCTATCTATCACTTATATCACCTATCTATCACCTATCTATCATCTATCATCTATATAATATTTTTGTCCATTAACACATTTTGCATTTCCATATACATACTGTTTGTAACTTGTTCCATTCACTCAAAAGTGTGTCTTATAGCTCCTTCTCTCTGTGTGCTGCAAAGCTTTCAGTGGTTTACTTGGTTCACCCCTTTGTTAAGGACCCTTATGTTAGTATTCTCAGTTAGAGTAGACATTGCTGAATTGCTTTCCAGAGTCTCTGTTTTGATTTTCCTTTCATCCTACAGTGTGTGATAGGACTTGTGAGCCATATTCCCCGCATTCATCCATTCATTCATTCAGTGATAGAGATGGAAAGTGCAAGCAGAGGAGGGGCAGAGAAAGAATCCCAAGCAGAGCCCAATGCAGAGCCAATGCCCATTGCCCATGCAGAGCCCAATGTGGGACTTTGACCCATGAATTGTGAGATCATGCCCTGAGCTGAGACCAAGAGTTGGAGGCTTAACTGATTGAGCCACTTAGGTGTCCCCCATATTCCTCCTTTAAAAATTAAAAACAATTTTTTATTTGTGTGAGAGAGAGCACGCAAGCAGGAAAGAGGAGTAAGGAAGAGGGTGAGAGAGAGAATCTCAAGCAGGCTCCATGCTCAGCACAGAGCCCAATGCTTGATCCCACAAGCTTGGGATCATGACCTGAGCTGAAATCAAGAGTTGGACGCTCAACCAACTGAACCACCCAGGTGCCCCCTACTTCCTCCTGTTTTGATTGCTGTGTGATATTCTAACATATGGCTGTACTATAATTTCTCTTAACATCTCCCATTGATGGATATTTGGATTGTTTCTACTTTTTTACTAAAACAAACAATAAGTCAGCATCTGTGAACACTGGGCCACACTTACACATGTAAAGGTCTCTCCACTGCAAATTTCCGGAAGGACAATTGCTGAGTCAAAGACAGTTTCAGTTTTTGTCATCTTAATAGCTGTTTCAGATCTGTTCCTATCAGCTGAATTTGATGTTATCACCTTTCCCATACCTATAGAATTATTGTATTGAATTTTAAATCTTTGCCAATTTTTCATATTTCCTCTTTTAATGAATATTTATTTAAATAAGGGGTTGAACATCTTTTGCACATTTTGGGGGCTACTCCCAACATTTTAAATACTGAGGTATCATTTATATACATCATATTAGTTTCAGGTGTACAAAAAGTGAGTTGATATTTGTATATATTACAAAATGATCACCACAATTAGTTTGCTGACATTTTTCACCATACATAATTATAGAATTTTTTTTCTTGTGATGAGAACTTTTAAGAAATACTCTCTTAGCGACTTCCAAATATGCAATACAGCAGTATTAACCACAGTATTATTAATTATAGTCAACTATAGCCAATACAGTATTATTAACTAAAATACAGTAACTGTAATGCTGTACATTACATCCCTATGACTTAATTATTTTATAACTGAAAGTTATCCTTCACCCATTTGCTTACCTACACCCCCACCCCCACCCCTCACAACAACCAACCTATTCTCTGTATCTAGGAGCCTGTTTTTTTTGTTGTTTGTTCGTTTCTTCAGATTCTACACATAAGTTAGATCATACAGTGCTTGTCTTTCTCTTTCTGACTTATTTCACTTAGCACAATGCCCTTAAGATCCTTCCATGTTGTCTCAAATGGCAAGATGTCTTTTTTATGGCTGAGTAATATTCCACTGCATGTATATATCACATTTTCTTTATCCATTCACCTATTGATGGACACAGCTGCTTTTCATAACCTTGGTTATTATAAATAATGTTGCAATGAACATAAGTTTACGTATATCTTTTTGAGTTAGTGTTTTCATCTTCTTTGGATAACTACCCAGAAGTGAGATTGCTGGATAGCATGATAGTTGTAGTTTTTAATTTTTTTGAGGAAACTTCGTACTATTTTCCACAGTGGCTGCGTGAATTTAAAACCCCACCAACAGTGCCCAGGGTTCCTTTTTCTCCACATCCTCATCAGCATTTGTTATTTCTTGTCTTTTTGGTAATAGCCGTGCTAACAGCTGTGAGGTGTGAGGTGATTTTTCCTTGTGGTTTTGACTTGGATTTCCCTGATAATTAATGATTTTGAGCATCTTTTCATGTACTTATTCATCATTTGTGTGTCTCTTTAAAAAAAATGTCTATTCAGGGGTGCTTGGGTGGCTCAGTCAGTTGAACGTCTGACTCTTGATTTCAGCTCAGGTCATGATCCCAGGGTCATGGGACTGAGACCCGCACTGAGCTCTGTGCTGAATGTGGAGCCTGCTTGAGATTCTCTCTCTCTCTCTCTCTCTCTCTCTCTCTCTCTCTCTCTTTCTCTCTCTCTCTCTCTCTCCCCTCTCTCTCCCTCTCTCCCCCTTTGCCACTCTTCCACACTGTCCCCTGCCTCCCGTCTAAAAAAATAAATAAAAATAAAATGTTTATTCTGATCATTCTTCTGCATACATTGATAAGCCATTTGTATTTCTTGTTATGTGACTGGTACTCATCTTTATTTTTCTCTTTGAGTTTTTCTCTTTTTTTCATATTTACTTACAATAACTCATTTAAAGATTGCCTTTTGACTTTTGAGGGGCACTTCTAGTTAATTGTTATGGAGACAGATTTGTCCAAATTTTCTTTTACAGTCATACTGTCTAGCCTTATGCTAGGGTTTTGTGGGCTTTTCTTACCAGATGTTAGGGCTTCACTTACTTGTCTCTCCTGTTCCATGGGTCTATTTTCCTATTTTTGCAGCAATGCCACACTGTTTTTTGTTTGTTTGTGTGTTTGTTTGTTTTATCACTGCATCTTTGTAATAAGTCTTTTTTTCTTTAAAAATTTTTTTTAATGTTTATTTATTTTTGAGACAGAGAGAGACAGAGCATGAATGGGGGAGGGTCAGAGAGAGGGAGACACAGAATCTGAAACAGGCTGCAGGCTCTGAGCTGCCAGCACAGAGCCCGACGCGGGGCTCAAACTCACAGACCGTGAGATCATGACCTGAGCCGAGGTCGGCTGCTTAACCGACTGAGCCACTCAGGCGCCCCTGTAATAAGTCTTAATACCTGGTAGAGTGAGTTCCTTTTCTTTAATATTTCACTAAGTATTTTTTCTTTAATGGTTATTTATTTTTGAGAGAGATAGAGAGAGAGCAGGGAAGGGACAGAGAGGGAGACACAAAATCTGAAGCAGGATCCAGGCTCTAAACTGTCAGCACAGAGCCTGATGTGGGGCTTGAACTCATAAACCGTGAGATCATGACCTGAGCTGAAATTGGCCATTTAACTGACCAAGCCACCCAGGTGCCTCTTTAATATTTCATTTAAAAAAATTTTTTTTTCAACGTTTTTATTTATTTTTGGGACAGAGAGAGACAGAGCATGAACGGGGGAGGGGCAGAGAGAGAGGGAGACACAGAATCGGAAACAGGCTCCAGGCTCTGAGCCATCAGCCCAGAGCCTGACGCGGGGCTCGAACTCATGGACCGCAAGATCGTGACCTGGCTGAAGTCGGATGCTTAACCGACTGCGCCACCCAGGCGCCCCTTTAATATTTCATTTTTAAAATGACCTAGCACTTCATGATCTTCTATTCTTTTGGAAACGTTTTGGATTAAGTTTATCAAGTTCTTAAAACTACCAGGTAGATTTTCATTTGAATTGAACATATTCTATAGGTTGACTTGAATATATGATTGACTTGTGGAAAACAGATTACTTCATAATATGAATGCATACCATTCTAGAATGTGGAAGAAATACCCCATTTTTGGATACTGAAATACTATTTAGTCTTCTAATAAAGTCCAAAATTTTTCTTAGAGATCTTATACATTTTTGGTTAAATTAACCCTAAGATATATTTTTTTAATGTTTATTTTTGAGAGAGAGAGAGAGAGAGAGCAAGTGCATGCTCTAGTGGGGGAGGGGGAGGCAGAGGATCTGAAGTGAGCTCTGTGCTGACAGCAGAGAGCCTGATGTGGGACTTGAACTCACGAGGACTGAGATCATGACCTCAGCCAAAGATGGACACTTAAATGACTGAGCCACCCAGGCACCACAACCCTAAGATACTTTCATTGCTATGGTGAATCATATCTTCTATTGGGATTGAGAGAAGTTTATAAATTCATTTGGAATATAGAGATTTCATATCTAATTTTAATCCAGGTATTTATTTCTTCTTCTTCTTCTTCTTCTTCTTCTTCTTCTTCTTCTTCTTCTTTTATTTTTTCTAATTAGTTGTTATTTCAACATAGAAAAACAATTTTTTTCATATGCATATAAATTTTGTGCCAGTGAACATAGTAAATACTAAGTATGGAGTCTTGTATCCAAAAACATGTTTTCAATAAAAGCTTTTGGAACAACTGCAGAGCTATCCAGAAAAAAGTTAACTCAACCTGTTTCTCATGTATTGTGACATGACAACATCAGGATGGAATCAAATATTTAAAAATTTTTAATGTTTATTTATTTTTGAGAGAGAGAGAGAAAGAGAGAGCACGAGTGGGGGAGAAGCAGAGAGAAGAGGGAGACACAGAATCTGAAGCAGGCTCCAGGCTCTGAGTTGTCAGCACAGAGCCTGGTGTGGGGCTCAAACTCACAAACCATGAGATCATGACCTGAGCCAAAGTTGGATGCTTAACCTACTGAGCCACGCAGGTGCCCCAGGATGGAATCAAATTTAAAATAAAAAATAAAAGTGCCTTAAATGCTTTAGAGAAAACTGTGGGAAATTATTTTATAGCTCCATAATAAGGAAGCCCTTATTTTTGACAAAAGTCCCAGGAAATATACAAGAAGAGATTGCTGTACTGTTGCCTGAAAAAGATAAAGAGCAGTGTGTATAGTATATAGTATGCTACTGTATAATTTTTTTAATGCAAAAAAGTAGCTCTGGAAGAATACATTAAAAAAAAAAAAAGAACCTAGGCAAACTGTGAGGTTGGGAAATGAGTGAGTTGAGTTGTAAGAATGGTGTTTTATAATTTTCCAGTTTTGAGCCAGTTAACTATATCATTAAAATATACATCACCACACAAATTGAAGGGGATTAAAGAAAAAGAATTCACCCCCACGCCCCCTTACTGGATCTTCAATGTTTATAAAAGGTTTCTGGTGTATTCTCTTGTGTTTTCTAAGCATAGAGTCACTATCTGCCAACAATGACACACTTACCCCCACATTTCAGATTGCCTTACTCTCTTTTTTTCTTGTCTAATTGCATTAGCTAGGATCTCTAGTACCATGAGAAATAAAACATTGGATCTGTTTCTTTTGTTTCCTACTCATTGCCCTTTGATTTTGCTCTCTTGCAGTAAACCATATTTAATTTTTATGCAAAATCGTAAACCTTTTTATGGTTGGATTTTGGGTGTTGTGCTTTGCACAGAAAACCTTCTAAAAATACCCAGCTAAATTTCCTCTCCTGTTTCTGTGATACTGCCCTTCTTTTCCAAATACCACTTTATCGAGGTGTGATGGGCACATTAAAAAGCTGTACATCTTTAAGGCGCACAACTTAATGGGTTTGGAGATATTTGATCCATCTGGAATTTATTTCGTTATAGGGAAAGATGATCTCATGGGGCAGTAGAGAAAGGGGGTGGGGGTGGGGGGTAAGGGTCTCTGTTTTTGCTCCCTGGATAACTGTTGTGGGGCGGGGGGGAGGGGTCCTTAGGGACGACCTGGCCCAGTTGCCTTTCCTGACCATGTGCATCAAGGAGAGTCTGCGGTTGCACCCCCCGGTCACAGTCGTCTCCCGCTGCTGTACCCAGGACATCGTGCTCCCAGATGGCCGGGTCATCCCCAAAGGTGCCCACAACACCAGTGGGGGAGCCTGCGGGGCAGGTGGTGAGGGGCCCATCAGGCAGAGTGAAACCCTTCCTGACTGGCCCCTCCCCTCCCACAGGTGTTATCTGCCTCGTTAGTATTTTCGGGACCCACCACAACCCATCAGGGCCAGACCCTGCAGGTGCTGTTTCCTCCTCCTCACTCCACCCTTCATGTTTACTACTCAAGGGCCTAAGGGAGGGCTCAGGGTTCTGACCTGGCAAATTTTCTCCTCCAAAGACACCTGTGTGTCTCCAAAGTCACACAGCCCTTGGGAAACCCATCCAACAGTCCCGCCTCTCTCTGCCCCCAGGTATACAGTCCTTTCCGCTTTGACCCAGAAAACATCAAGGAGAGGTCTTCCCTGGCTTTTATTCCCTTCTCAAGGGGACCCAGGTGAGGTGTGGGGATGAGGTGGTGAGGGCAGGGGCCTGGGCCTGAGATCCCAGACGTGGCTGTGGGGGCGGGAAAGGGGACGGTTCTCCTTCTCTCCTCCAGAGGTTGGGGCAGCGTCTGGGCAGTGGGGTGGTTGTCCACCTGGCCATGTGCTCACAGACTTCCCTCTGTCTGGGAGCTCAGGGCTGGGATCTGAGCCAAGCTCAGGGACCCCGTGGCGGAACCTGGCACGGTTAGTCCTCCGCATCCCCGGCAGGGCGGGCTGTCCCGCCAGGTTCTGGGCGCGATTCCGCTGGGGGGTCCCTGGCGAGTGAGTTCCCACTGCCGCCCGCAGGAACTGCATCGGGCAGACGTTCGCGAGATCGACCGAGAGCAAGGCAGGTCCGCTCGTCGCTGCCGGGTGCGCTGGTCCTGCCCATATGAGGAGCCGCCACAGGAAGCCGAGTTTTCATCCTCTCATGCCGGGCCAGGGCGGATGGTGGGGAAGAGGGATGCTGAGCTGGGCCCCAGTGACCCGCCAGCTCCCCCTGGCTTGGGATCCACCCCGACTCTACACACGCCCCCTGGCGGATTCCCAGGACTAGAACTGTGTGGTCTCTTCTGCCCGAGCGCCACTGATAGCCAGCAGGGGGCGCTCGGGACCTGCGGGAACGCAGTGGGAGGGCAAGGGCGAAGGGTGGGGTGGAGGGGAGGCTGGTGTGTGAGCGCAGGACCCTGGCAGCCTTTCCAGCTGACCACAGGCACGCGCCCATGCTGATTGCGGGTTCTCCCAAAATCAAATCTATGGTCACTTCAGATCTCCAATGAACAGATAGAGAATAAAACAAAGAAAAGCATACTAAAACTCTAAATTTTCCCAATAGTCTCTAAATTCAACAACTGGTAAGGGGTCTCCAGACTGCCTGCCAGCCCTCCCTCCATATACCCCCTGCTCCTTACACACACAGCCTTCCCCACCATCATATCTCACATCAGAGTGCTACATTTGTTCCAAAGGAAGGACCTACATTGACACATCATTATTATCTTGGTGTTGTGTATTCGGTGGATTTTGACAAATGGATAATTGAAACAGGGCGCTGTCGAAAAACACCACCAGACGCCGAATAGAAGCGGGGCAAGATTTTATTCATGGCCGGGCCAAACCTGATCTCCTGATCTTAAGGAGAAAAGTGCAGAGAATGGCCCCGAACAAAGGTAGCAGTGAGCTTATAAGGATTTTAGCAAGTCAGAATACATCATTATTTAGTTAACCAATTACAATTTACAACATTTCATGGTAGCCAATTATATTGTGACATACAAACCTTAGTTTTGGTGGGAACCTATCAATTTAAAGTTCTTTGTCCTAAGAGGGTTTAAAATGACCAATCATAGTTAGACACCTAAGATACCATGAGGCAGTGAGTTGGAGACTTTTTACATGTTGGTCTTTGCCTAGGCCAGATGTTGGTAGAAGGGATAGGGGAGCGTTTTGCAACCTAAGTTATCCATTTAGCAAGCAGGCGAAGTTACGGAAGCGAGATAGGGCGGTTAGTAATTTCCGATAACCCTAATAGGGAACTACATAAGCTTTTATCTCAATTATTCATGAAAGGTGAGTTTAAGCCAAACTTATATACAATAAGCTTTCTGATATCTTATAAGTTGACCTATTACAATAATGACATGTATCCATTATTATAGTACCATACAGAGCAGTTTACTGCCTTAAAACACCCCTGTGCTCTGCCTCTTCATCTCTTCCTCCCCTCAGCCCCTGGCAACTACTGATATTTTTACTTTTTCCGTAGTTTTGCCTTTTCCAGGATGTACGGCAGTTGGAATCATATTGTATGTAGACTTTTCATGCTGGCTTCTTGTACTTAGTAATAGGCATTTAAACTTCCTTCATGTCTTTTCTTGACTAGATGGCTCGCTTGTTTTTAGTGCGGAATAATATTCCGTTGTAGGATGTAGTATCTATTCATTCACCCACTGTGATTTATTTTTAATCAGGTTCATGTGTTACTAAACCAAAATAAATATTTAAATGTAACATAATATCAAGTACAAAGATATGGAAAAGAGAAAGGAAACCAAATAAAAACGAAACCCTCAGGGCACCAAGAAAACTAGTAAATCTGGATTATTTCCTAATGAAGCAAACTTTTGGGTTTTTTTATTTTTAAAGTTTATTTATTTATTTTGAGAGAAAGAGTGCACTCACACAAGTGGGGGAGGGGCAGAGAGAGAGAGGGAGAGAGAGAAAATCCCAAGCAGGCTCTGCACTGTCAGCACAGAGCCTGATGCAGGGCTCAAACTCATGGACCATGAGATCACGACCTAAGCTGAAGTTGGCCGCTTAACCAACTGACCTACCCAGGTACCCCTGAAGCAAAATTTTAAGTGAAACTAACAGAGTGTAGTAACAGGATGTTTGCCATTTCCAGTGTGCTTTGGGACAGAGAACAGAGACATTGATTAATTCAATAAAAGTCTGGTAAATGGATGGCAACTCAGTGATCATCCCCACTTGGAAGTTATGAGCCATCTCAGACTCACTGTGTCTAAACCAAATTCTTCATTTTCACTCCAGACCTGCTCCTTTGCTGATCCAAAAAGTGGCTTCATTGACTTGGTCTGCAGACAAGTGCCTTTTTAAAGCTGTTTTTTTGGTCATTTAATCTTACCGCAATGCAGTTGAACACATAAAGAGATTACTTTGGAATTCATTGAGTATTTTTTGGGCCAAATACATGATTAATTTCTATAAATATTCCCCATGTGCTTGAAGAAAATGAGTCTTTCCCTCCCTGGGTGTACATTTCTCTATTTTATAGCTCAAACTTTTTTTAAAAACAAGTTTTTATTCATTCATTCATTCATTCAGAGCTTGAGCATGAGTGGGGGAGGGGCAGAGAGAAAGAGGGAGGGAGAGAGAGTCTTGAGCAGACTCCACCCTCAGCGCAGAGCCTCATTTGGGGCTCGAATTCAGGAACAGTGAGATCATGACCTGAGCTGAGACCAAGAGTCAGACACTTAACCAACTGAGCCACACAGGTGCTCCATAGTTCAAAGATTCAGTAGTTAGATAATAGAGTCCTTAGTCTGAGTCTTGTCTGCTTTAGTTGTCAATTTTTAAGATAAAAAAAGCTCCAAGTATTGGAATTGATGCCACTGTGGGTTACCATTTACTGCTTTACGTATGATGAGTTTATGTCTACTGACAATCTTTTTGACCCCTTAAAAATAGATAGCATCTTTGTGACATAAGATACTCTTCCCTTCAATTGTATCAGATATTGATAATAGGATTGCCACCCCAGGTTTAATATTTGTTGGCTATATCTTTTGTGTATTTTCTAAAATATGAGGTGATATTCATATAAAATTAACAATTTTGAAATGAACGGTTCTGTGGCACTCAGCAAGTTCACCATGTTGAACAACTATTGCTTGTATCTAGTTCCAGAACATTTTCATCACCTTAAAAGAAAACCCTGTTCCTAGTGAGTAGTCACTTTCCATTCCCTTTTTTCTAAACCTTTCCGTATTCTTATGTTTTAATTGAGTGTCTTGTATACACCATACTGTAAGACATTTCTTTCTTCTTTTTTTTAAGGTTTTATTTTTAAGGAATCTCTACACCCAACATGGGACTTGCACTCACCACCCTGAGATCAAGAGTCGCATGCTGCACTGACTGAGCCAGCCAGGAACCCCAAGACATTTGTTTCTTATTTAAATCAAATCTAAAAACTCTCTTTTAACTGGTGATTCTAACCCAATTACATTTACTCGTACATTAGGAGTAATTCTTACATTAGACGTTTATTGCCACTGGGGTGCCTGGGTGGCTCAGTTGGTTGAGCATCTGACTTCAGCTCACATCATGACTTTGCAGTCTATGGGTTTGAGCCCCACCTCGGGCTCTGTGCTGACAGCTCAGAGCCTGGAGCCTGCTTCAGATTCTGTGTCTCCCTCTCTCTCTGCCCCTCCCTGCTTGTGCTCTGTCTCTCTCTCTCTCTCAATCTCTCTCTCTCTCTCAAAAATAAATAAATATTTTAAAAAGTTTATTGCCCCTGACTTTTCATATTTTCTATCCACTGTGTATTCTTTTTAAATTCTTTTCTTTTTCCCATATATACCTTTTGGATAGGTCAAGGGTGGATGATGAACCAATATTATGTAGCTGGTAAAAAGTTATGATGTCTACAGAGAAGCATAGGGCATGTATGTAATATCAACATACTTCTGTAACTAGTGTGTAAATATTTATGCATGAGCATAAGAATTGAAGGTCAGTATAAAAATGTGGTCATGTGATTCTCACAGGTTTCTTTGAAGAGGTCATTTAAAAATTATTTTTGGGGGCGCCTGGGTGGCACAGTCGGTTGAGCCTCCAACTTCAGCCAGGTCACGATCTCGCGGTCCGTGAGTTTGAGCCCCGCGTCAGGCTCTGGGCTGATGGCTCAGAGCCTGGAGCCTGTTTCCGATTCTGTGTCTCCCTCTCTCTCTGCCCCTCCCCCGTTCATGCTCTGTCTCTCTCTGTCCCAAAAATAAATAAACGTTGAAAAAAAATTTAAAAAAAAATTATTTTTGGAAGGGGGGGCACCTGGGTGGCTCAGTGGGTTGAGCTTCCGAGGTCAGCTCAGGTCATGATCTTGCGATTTGGATTTGTGAGTTCGAGCCCTGCATTGGGCCCTCTGCTGTCAGCACAGAGCCCACTTCAGATGGGCTCCCTCTCTCTCTGTCTCTCCCCAACTTGTGGTCTCTCCTAAATAAATGAACATTAAAAAATTGTTTTCAATTCCACTATACTTACCATACAGTGTTATATTACTTTCAGGTGTACAATACAGTGATTCAACACTTGTTTCCGTGCTCATCACAAGTGCACTCCTTAATCCCCTCTGGTGGCTACCAGTTTGTTCTCTATAGTTAAGAATCTGTTTTTTGGTTGCTCTCTCTATTTTAAAGATGTCATTTTTAAAGTTGGTCAGGCAGAATGGCATTAAGGAAAGAAAACTAATTTAAAAAAATTTTTTTTAATGTTTATTTATTTTTGACAGAGAGAGAGACAGACAGGGCATGAGTGGGGGAGGGGCAGAGAGAGAGGGAGACACAGAATCTGAAACAGGCTCCAGGCTCTGAGCTGTCAGCACAGAGCCCGACACGGGGCTCGAACTCACGACTGTGAGATCATGACCTGAGCCGAAGTCAGACGCTCAACCGACTGAGCCACCCAGGTGCCCCAAGAAAACTAATTTTAAACACAGTGACATTGGGATTTAAGTGCCAGCAGAACCCTAGCTTAGGAGCCTCAAAGAGGGTTATAAAGCTCTGATAGCCCCAGGACCATAGGAAATAGAAACCACTCAACAATCCTGATTTTTCTTTTCCCTTCCTGTTGAATCCAATTCTTAACTTCAAAATTTAAATGAAAAGTAAATAAAAGTGTTGGGAAGTGACCTTTCCATTAACTCTAAAGGAATCTCAAGAATGACCACATTTGGGAGGGGCTATAGGACATTGGAGGCTAAAGTGACATGAGGACAGGAAGCATGGCGCCCGGGAGCAGCCCAGGGAGTGTCCATGACCTTGGAAAGAAGATCACTTTTGGAGAGGCAGCTTACCGCTATTCCCTTCTCACCTAGATGCCTAGATTCTCTTTCCCACATTTTATTTCATGATAAACCATCTACAGATCTGTCTCTGTGCTGATTCGGGAAAAGAAGAGAAATGTGGGAGGTCTGAAGGGCAGCAGCAGTTTCCTTTCAAGGACAAAGGAGAATGACTGAGAGTAGGGGGGGCAGCTCAGGGCACCTGCTGTGTCTGAGGGCTGCACTGAAGCTCCTGGCCCAGGGAGCCAAACCTCTGATGAGGTTTTGGGGTGATGGGGGGCTCGTGGGGTCTGGAGCTGACGGCCAAGAAAGAATTCTGGAAGACTTCTTTGGTGCAAAAAAGGTGATTTTATTAAAGCATGGGGACAGGACCCATGGGCAGGAAGAGCTGCATTCGGGTCCTGATGGGTACCTCATTATATACCCTCTGGTTGGGAGGGGGTCAGGGACAGAGTAAGTCTCTAAGGAATTTTGGAAGCAACCTTTCCAGGACCTAGCTGTTGCTAGGGAAGTGCCACTAATTACCATTTAATACAACCTCAGTCATGAGACCCTTTATATGTATATCAGGGGCCATAAGCTTGGAGTATGATTGCCAGCATATATCCTGGGGCAGTTGAGATAAAGGAAGTTGATTTACAGGATCATTGAGGTTGGGATAATGTTAAACTGAGGTTCTCTTTTGCCCCCAGCAAAGTGTCACCTTAGAGGCAGCTGAACTCCTAGAGGGAGGTCACTTTGCTGGTTTCAAGGACTTGTCAATGGGCTGTAGGCAGTAAGGGAGTTTAGTTTTTCATTTGCCTTAGTTTCCCCAGCACCATGGTAAGCACTCAAACCCCTTTCCTTTGTTCTTGGGTAGCTGGGAGTGTCTGAGGAATATCACATAGATCCCACCTGGGAGTGTGTATGCCAGCCTGCATTTTGCCCTCAGCCTGCTTCATACTCCCTCATCACCTCCAGCCAGGCTGCAGGAAACAAGTGAGATAAGACTCGGTCAATATACACCTTTACTCCACCCAGACAAGCTGGATTATAGGTTTATGGCTCTTCTCCTTTGACCCCATTAGCCTCTTCCCCTAACATTCCTTTGTATGGAAGGCTCAGTTGTGTGTGGAGAATTTTAAATCATTCCCATAAGCCATGCTTTAGTCTAGGATCCAGCATCCAGGCAGGAGGCCAGGTGGATGTGCCCATCTCTTCTGCCTTATCAGGAAGAAAGTGAGCATCAGAAAATTCACTACCTAGTGAGTCAGAGGGTGAACCAGGAAATCCTCTGGTGAGAGTGTATCTGTGGGGAACAGGCAGCTCTTCTCTGCTGCCTGTCCTCCCTTGAATCAATTTCCCTCAGGATGATGGGAACAAATTCCTTTGTTCTTTGCCCGACAGAGACTCTGATCCTCTGATGGTCACTTTCCTCAGGATTATTCCGACAAAGGAGAAAAGACTGGCCTGCTGGGACCTGGGTTGACTGGAGTGACCCAGGTGCCCCCAGTGTCCTTCTCACAAATGAAGGAGCCCACCAAGCTGGGGGAGAGATTGGGGGAAGAAAAGATGGCCATCGGGTTGGGACAGCCTGACTGCTGTCAGGATGGGGTGGGAGGCAGGGGGGAGCTGTACCCTCCTCTTGATCCCCAGCTTGGGAGGTACTTCCTGTGATCCACCCCTGGAAGTTGGAGTCGGACCCAGCAGGATTAAGAGCCTCCCTAACAAAGAGCGGGGAGTGAACAGGGTCAGAACACGGATCAGAACGGAGGCAGGCAGCGTGACAGTGAGAACACAGGCCCTGGGGTCAGGCACAGCTGGTTCAAATCCCAGCTCTGCCCCTGAAGGGAGGACTTGGCTGTGGGTGAGGGAACTAAACTCTGAGCCTCAGTTTATCATTTGTGTAGTGGGGACTCTAGATGAACCCACCTCAGAGGCTGCTGGAAGCAGTTTCCGAGAAGACTCAAGGGCAGTGTTTACTTCAAGGACTGGCACACGGAATGGTGTTCTTATTCATACACCATGGCCACCTGTAGGAAGAAGGGCATCATGGTGTGTGGAGGGTAGAGGATGGGCTTGGGGAAGTGTCTGGAAGCACTAATGAGAAGACTGAGGGAGGAGAGGAGAACTTCTAGAAACAGAAGAGCAGCTCACAGGCCGGCAGACCTGGATCTGGCCCCTGGCAGTGGCAGCAAGGCTGTCCTCCTCCCCCTGAGGCCAGCCTTACCATCCCCAAGCTCCCCCATGTCAGCTACTGGCAGTGCAGCTGAGCTCACTGGGGGAAGTTTCTGGCTTCCTGAATGGGGAACACAGGCCAGGCAGAGGACGGGGTGGAGAGACCCGGTCTGGGGACAGTGAGTGGTGGGTGCTGGGCCAATTCCCCTTGATCCTTGGGTGTCAGATATCTGGACTGGAAGGGGGAGGCAGACTTCAGATCTGGTGGGGTTTGAGGGTTCAGAGAATCCTGGAGCCAGGCTGGAGGCTGAGGACCATGCATTCGCTCTCTCCCCACACCTCCTAGACCTGAAGATGCTGCTCAGT